ATATTAGATTTAACCAAAAGGTAGCTCATGTATAATCCATTACTACAATCATAGAAGGGACTTCATTATCTAAACTCGTTAATCAAGCTAACCTCTCATTGGTTCTACCATAAAACTCTCAAAACTTAAATCAGAAGACATAATTAATGAAAAAAAATCTACTAAACTAGATTTAGATAGAAAGGTCAGTTGAAAGAGAATTAAAAAGATTATGGTAAAAAAAATAGATCAACGCGAGAGCAAGCAAACTATAAAGTGTGAGACAAAGGCCCTCAAAGGCCCTTTATATAGTCAGCAAAAGGACTAGATGAACATTTCAGATCATGCCACATGTCCAAAATGGTTACCGAGGATGATCTTTCATATTCCAAGTTTTAAATTTTTATCAAACAATTTTCTCTTTCCTTATTAAATGTCATTTTCAGACGATACGAGGGTAAATCAATCATTTTAACTACTTATTAATCCGATCAAACACGTATGACACATTAGGTCAACCATTTGTTAAGTCAAAATCAAATTTCAAAACAAATAAAGAACACAAGTCCCACATCGGCCTAAACAACAATAGATCATCAAGTCATTATCAAATACAACATTTCTTGATGTATAAGTCACTTAGTAATCACTCATAAATTTATTGGGTCTAACCCTCACTCACCTCAGCATTCACAATCATTCACTTCAACAACTTCAAGTCAAATCGATTAAATATAAATTTCAAAGTCCATACTTATATTAAGCTCAGTATCATTGAGCATGCGTTAGGTTAGCACAAACCACAGAAAGCCAAGACTACACCCAATGGTCTAATACACAAATTACTCGGTAAGGGAACAGAATGTTAAAGGCATTTTTAGGTCCAAGAGGTAAAATAATCTTTTTTTTTCATTAGAGGCTGCCAGCAGATAGCCAGGGATATTTATGACTTTTGGGTCAACATGGCATGTCAGATTGACCTAAAAATTCACGGTGTCACGTAAGCTCAACCACCTCATCAGCCTATTTAAAGGACTTTTCCTTTTATGCTAACTTGTCACTCATTGAGTGGAGGATCAACATTAAGTCAGCTCAGCCTACTAATTCATCCTAGCCATAAGACTCCAAAACCCTTCACCTTTAACTATAAATAGGGTCATACAAGTATTATCTAAATATGTGATTTTTCTCTACTTTGACATTTTTTCCCTTCTATTTTCCTCTTAATCTGACTTCTAACTCGAGTGTTGGAATGTAAAGTTTGGATAACTCCCAACCTTTGCCTTTGATCACTCTTTTTTATCTCTTTTGTATCTTCAGGGTTTTACCTATCGGCTCGAAGCTTGGCACTAACAAAAAAAAAAAACTTAAAATGATGATATCAAATGAGGAAAAAAATGAGAAAGGCTATGAAAGTAAACCTTTGGATGAATGTTCCTTTAATCTAATTACCTAAATCATTCCCTACATATCCTTTGCCTTTACATAGGGCCATCTAAATTTACCAATAGAAAAGATAATTTTACCTCTCTTAAGCAATTTAGGTCATTTTGTTCCTCTTTTCTAAATTTTTCGCTCTCATGTCGACCCCATAATTTATTATAACAAAAATGATAACAGATGTCTTTAAACCTAAATTTGTGCACGTACCTAAAATCCAACCTCATTTGACCAAGTTTACACAAATGCTCTTAAAATGCATTTTTTTTTACTTTTCTAATGCTTTTAGAGTCAAACTTTGGTTTTTAGATCCTATATCAAAATTTTATTAATTTTAAACCTTAATAGTCCTAATCAATACAATTTTCGAGAGCTCACCTCAATTTAACCAAGTTTGACCGAAGTGAATTTTGGTCCAAAATTCAAGTTTTTATCAAATTTAAAGTTTTGATCAAATTTAAAGTTTTTCCTCTAAATTTCCTCAAAATTCTTTAGTTTAACTAAGTTTGACCAAATTGACTTGACATTGACCATCTTTGATATGAGTTTGATTGAGGAATATTTGATCAAAAACATAAATTTTGATCAAATCCGAGGTTTTACAGTTCAACTCTTTCAAAATCTCATGATTTGGTTAATTTTGACCAAATTGACATAAGTTTGACCAAATTGATCCGAGTTTGATCAAATTTGACCAAAATCAACTCGTTTTGACTTTTTTGAACCTCGATTTTATTGACCAGAGGTTTTTTCAAGCCTTTTCATATTTATTAATCATTTGACTTGATTTCAACAATTTCAAAACTTTCCCCTCAATTTTTTATCTCAAAAGTGTAGGTTAATTAAGTTTGATCGAGTTGACTTTAAAATTGATTTTTGACTTTACTTTGTTTGACTATCACCATTTTTTTTATTGGCAAGCTTAAAACCAACTTATTCAAAAGATTCAATCTATCCATGTAATTCAAAAATTTTGAAAAATGACATGGATCTTGATTTTTTAAGTATCAAATTTGATTAGTAAATGCTTGGACAAAATTAAGTGTCTACATCAAGTAAGCTCGAGCTTAAAAAAATAAAACTCGATTAAGTTCAAGTTAAGCATCGAGCTTTGGTTATCGAGTTGAGCTCGAGCTTGAGCATCCTAGTGTATCAGTTTAGCTCAACTTGATTCACCCTTAGTCAATGGTATTTTTTCTTGTTTGATCATATAGTTTGACAAATCAGCTACTACTGTCTTTTTTTTATCAAATAATCAACTCACAAATAAGTGTCCCTCTAAATGTTTTACTAGTAGATAATTATGAAACCCATAAATTACTTTCATACCTACCTATCATCCCTTACTAATTAATCCCATATAACTCAAATACGTAGCCACACTTTTTTGTTCCCGTTTTCTTACGCTATATTTCTTCTACATTTGCCTTATTCTTTTGTTTCTTGTATTTTTCACTTCGTTTAGATGCTAATCTTATTCTAAATTTCTTTGTTAGACCTCCCAAATTAGAGTTCATAATCACAATGATAAAAATCATTATCTTTTCCAACTTGTCTAGTCCATGAAATTATGGCCTTCTTACTACAAAATAACTATACAACATATTTGACTTATCACTTTGTGTGTCTACTATTGTAAATAAAGAACTGCAATCATAGCTGGTATCTAAATTATATAATGATTCATTCCACTCTACAAATGTAGTTTCAAAATTGTTCTACACACTTAAAAAGTTAAAAAAAATTAGAATAATCACATAATCGAATATGCATAGTTGGTAGGTTTATATATTTTTAGATATACATATCTTAAAGTAATATTGTATTGTCAAATATGCATATTCAATAAGTTCTTTATGTATTGTATATACATATCCAAAAGTCATTATACATTTCCTGGAAATGCATATATCCAGTAACAAAAAGAACTTATCTTATATATATGTATATATATATATATATATATATATACATCCAGATATGTATATTATTTTTGGATATGTTTATATGGATTTATAAATTTCTAGTTAAAATTGAGATAAACTTACCTCATTGTTTATTTGACAATCTTCATCTCCACTAGTTTTCTTACTAGTTTGGCTATCCATTTTCACAATGTACAAGATAAAAAAAAATAGTTTTAATGAATCAAGGTTTGTAATGAAATTGCAAAGAAAAAAAGACGAAGAAGAAAAAAGAATAGAAATGAGTGTAAGAAAGGCAAAAAAGTAATTTGCCAAAAACTAATTAATTAATTTAACTTAAGAATAATTTTATAAAAAAAATGTTAAGGGCATTTATTGGTGCAAATAAAGGTTCTCTTTACTAAAATACCAAATTCTAGTTAATTATTAAGTGAATTGTTAAAATTTTGAATAATGCAATCAAATCTAATATTTAATTTTATAAAGATTGGAGAAATAAGAGGGTGCCCATTTGACGCCCCTCTCTTCCTTCATTCTCTACTTTTATTTCTTTTTAATTTTATTTTTTATTTAATCTAGTTTCTAATTTTTTAATTTATATTTTATTAGATAAATTTTATAAAAAAAAAAAGTCAATAGGGATAAAAATGATTAAACAATCTGTATTCAATTAATTTTAACTCTCACCAATCTAATATAAAAGTATGTTTTTTTTTTAAATAATGGAGATCGAGTCAAAGTTTTTTTTTTTTTTAATGGCATAGGATTGGAGATGGATTTAAAGTGTTTCATTCCATCTTGAGTATACATAAAGCACCTCTTTCTTTTCTTTTCTTTTTTCATTTTTTTGTTTTTATTAGCATTTAATTTTTTCCTTTTTCTTCTTTTAACTTTTTAATTTATTCTTTCTATTAAATAAATTTTATAATAAAAAAATCAATTGAAATATAATAATAAAATAATTCATATCCGATGAATTTCGATTCATCTCAATTCAATTAGTGCACTTTCTTTTAATTCAGGATAATTGAATTGAGTTTTTTCTTTTTTAATTGAGCTCAGATAGAACAAAATTTGGAGTGTTACGCATTAACCTTAGTATATATAAAATATCTTTTTATTATTTATTTAATTTTATATTTATATATTATTAAAAATATTATTTAATATTTTAATTTAATAATTTTACGTATCATTCCATTTGATTTTTTAAATATTATTTTAAAATTTATTTATTAGAAAAATTTTGTAAAGAAAAAATCAATGAATATAGAGATAACAAAATAATTTATATTAAATAAATTTTAATTCGTCGCATCTAATTGATATATTTTTTTCTTAAAATAAAAATTAGGTTAAGTTTTATCTTTTTAAATAATTTAAATAAATCAATGTGAGGTTTAATTTACTCTGTCTCAACCCTTTTAAAGAATATATTTTATTATTTATTTAATTTATATTTATATGTATTATATTAATAAAGATATTATTTAATAAATTAATTTCATAAAAAATTATATTTATATATAATTAAGTTATAATTTATATAAAAAATAAACATATTTATATTATCTATATTTATCATCAATTAAAATTTAACATAAAAATTTTACTTCTGTTTATTCAAAATATAATTTTTTTTTTTTTAAACACGGGTCTAATTTAGTAGTAATAAATTTATTTCTTCCTTTTTAAAATCCTACTTTTCTCAGCCACCCTTCCTGCCTGCCTCACGACGGTTTCTTCTTCTCCGTGTTCCTCTCCCCATCACGAGTCACGACTATTCAAGGTTCAACACAATCTTCCTTGAGTTGTTAGGTGTAAGATTTTACTGTTTAAATAGAATTTTTTTTTTTGGTTTAATTCTTCAGTGTTAGAGGTAAACTTTGAACGCGTCTTTCGCCGTTGTTTCTAGTGATTAGGATATTCGAATTTTTAATCATCGGAGATTAGTTTCCTCATATCCTTTTTGCTAATTTGCAAGGCTGCCATTGTGCTTCTAAGTGTTGTTGCCTCTTTCGAAATTATATTTGTTTTTGTTTTAGATGAAATTAGCTATGAATTAATGTTGCAAGCAACAAGCTGAGAATCTGGTAAAGTTATTTTGTACAGGATATGAATTGGGTAGTTACATGTGTTATGGTTTCATTGGGTTTTGACAATGAGCTTGACCTAAAACTTATCCTTTAATTTTGCCCTTTCGGGATTTCTGAATATTTTGAATTCGGATGTTTCAGGTTAATCTGCAACTTATTGTTTAATGTTCCCTCTTTAGGTTTTTATGGTGAAACTTGTTTATTGTTAATCATGAGTGAACTTCAATCTTAATTCTTGTTTGAAAGAGGTTTAATTGAGATTCAAGGGTTCAATTGTTTAATGGGTATTTTCTATCTATTTCGGGTAGGGGTTAATTAGGATAGCAAAATAAAATATTGCCTGTGTATTTGTCGGGTTCCTTACATGTATCTAAAAAATAGCTGGTACCTTACCCGCCACAATTCCTAGTAGATTTTTCTCATAGATACTAAGAAAATTCAGTGCTGAATTTTGAATAATTGGTTTAAAACAAAACCAAGTAGAATTGATGGAGAGCAATCTTACAAGAAGTATCTAATAATACTTTTTTCACAGCTTTTATGTAGTGAAAATTTTCTAAAATTATTTAACTAATTGCTTGTTTCTTCTTATATTTTAATAGGTTTATCATAACAAATCTGAGAATAGTCGAGGAAAAATAAACACCAATTTTCTAATGGCCTCTAGGGTTTCACTAAAGAGCAAAGCCAAAGGAGGGAAGGGATCCAAAGGCTTGGATGAGAAATCAACTGCACAGTGCTTGAAAGAGTGGAGCACATGGGCTCTGAAGAAGGCCAAAGTGGTAACTCACTATGGCTTCATTCCTCTGGTGATCATCATTGGCATGAACTCTGATCCCAAGCCCCAACTTTATCAACTGCTAAGCCCTGTCTGATTCATTTGTCTCTTTTGTAACCACCCAGATCTTAGTTTTGCACTTTTATGTAATGGATTGGTGCCTATCCATCCAAACTACATGGTATTATGTTCAAAGACTTTTTGTGTTTTATATGATGCTGACTTTGTTTTATTTTTATATGCCTAGAGATTAATAATTATGAATGGTACATTTTATGAAAATTTGAATCTTATTTTTATCTCTAGGATTAAGATGGAGTTATTCAATTTGATTCCATTTAAAATTCTCAATGTTTTGTTTTTTGTTCAGCTTCATGATTTTATGTATGCAACTATGCATGTAACTTAGATAGCTAATCGAAGCTTAAGGTGAAATGGCATTTTCTTTTTCTTTTTTTTTCTTTTGGTGTTCGCAAGTTTAGGGATAAGTTTCTTTATACTTTTATGTACAATGGTCAAATTGCTCCATTTGCTCCTATAATTTTCATAAGGGTCATTGTATATTATAATTGTTCTTTAAATTAAATTCTTTAGCAGAACAATTGGTTTCAGGAATGCTTTGCCTTTTCATATGGAATTGGCCATCATTTTTTATGCTGACAAATAGTTAATTGAAAGTTGGACTGATTTTCTCATCTTTTTTCCATTACTCTGTTTAGACGCATACTTCCTTGAGATGTCTGTGAACTGTATTTGGCCCAGATAGAGGATTTTAAGCTACAAATATATTGAATTACTCTTCCTTTTTATGTTATTCTGTTAAGTACTTTGCAACATACATATTCTGCTGTAATTTTGAATTTGATGCTGCAGAAGACTGGGCAAGTGAGGGGCTTTGTTAGTTTAGTATTAAACGGTGAACTTTGAGGACTCAACTTCTGTTACAGATTATCAGTTAACATGTCTCTTCCTTTTGATTTGTGTAACAATCGAATAACTTGGTTCCTTTAATGGAGGTGGAGGTGAGTTAGCAACAGGGTTTTGATCTGATCAGAGGTGAGATAGCTGTCTTGTTATGCTCCAAAACAGTGTAGCTGCCAGAAGATCTCTCTTTGTTTTATATGCTTACTATGATGAGAATATGGGTTTGGCATGCAGCAGAGGCAGTTCCTACGAATTTCCATACAATGATGCTTTTATATGGATGAAGTGAAACTGGTTTTCTCTTAATCTACCGAGACTGTTATTTACAAGATATTGGACCTTTTATTTTTCGGAAAAGGTTTAAAAATTGACAGTTTACTCCCTCTATGGTTATTTCTGAGTATTAATTCTCATCAAATTAACATATCATTATTTTTGGTATTATTTTTGTTATTTTTTAAACAGCAACAAAAAAAAAAAAAGTTTTGGCAACATAGTTTTGTTTTCAAAAACTGAAAGCAAAAAATAAAAATCTCAAATTTGTTTTTTTTTTTTTTTTTTTTGACATAAATTTTCAAAATTGCTGGAAACAAAAATTTTTTTTATTGTTTTTGAAAATATATTTCCAATTTTTATACTGTTTATAACAGAATAGTCCTCATGTAATAAAATAATATTTTATATTAATATAATAAAAATCACAAGTAAAATTAATTAATTTATAAATTAAAATATTATATTTAATATGAAATAAAAATTGATTAACAATTAATGAAATAAAAATAAAATACTTCAAAATTAAAATATAATTTTATTGAATATAATAATTAAAAAATACATAAGTTATGGAATATTAATAACATGAAAATATAATATTTTAATACTATAATATTATTTAATTTTAAAATTATAATATTATTAATTAATATATTATAAGAAATATATAATTTAATATATTAACATGTTAATTAAAAGTAAAATTATTAAGTACAATTATTAACTATAATTAAATATTATTTAGTTATTTAATAAAACTTTAAAATATATTCCTAATATTATTAAATAATTGAATATTATTAATAAAATTAATATTTAGTATTAAATAATTTTTATACATTATAGTTAATATATTTTAATAACTATTTATATGATAATTAATTATATTAAAAACTATATAATCTAACTCTAAATCCCTAATATTATTAAATAATTTCATATTATTAATTAATATTTAATATTTGATATTAAATAATATTTTGTATTATAATTATTATATTTTAGTAATTATATAATTGATTAAATATTACTTAGTGGAGGATTTAATATCCAATAATTTAACAATATTATTTAATAATTAAAATATTATATTATATGAAATAATTTTAATATCATCAAAAATTATTTTAATAATATTATTTAATATATAATTCATAGTAATGTTAATGCATATCAATATTAAATATATAATTTAGAATTATATTAATTTATGTAATTATGTAACAAATTTTAATAGTAGGTAATTTTTTATTTAATATTTATATAATTATTATCTTTTAATTTTGATTTAATTAATATTTTCTAATTTTATTATTTAATATCATATCATCGTTTCTTTGGGAAATGGTATAAGATGGACAATCATAACAGATTAACAAAAGTTAAATATTTATATACTTATTTAAATTAAATTATATACTAAATATTTTAACTAATTATTAATTATTTTTAGATGTATATAATTGTTGAAATCAAATTAAATTATGCACTAAATACTTTAACTAATTAAATGGTGTAGAGCCTTTATAATACAATTGTAGAATTGCTTCCAAATGCTGAACATAGATTTTATGTTAAGCATGTATATGTTAATTAGGTTAAGAGGGGACGTAGGGGTAAAGAGATGAAAAAGGCTTTCTAGACAATTGCTAAGTCTTCAATAGTTAGACAATTTAAAGAAAACATGAGGAAATTGTAAGAAAAAAAAAAAAAGAGACTTGCAGTTGTAAAATAATAAAAACCCCACCTCAGCAATGGTGTAGAGCCTTCTTCAAAATAGACTTTAGATGTGAGTTAGTTGACAATAACTTATGTAAAGCATTTAATGAGACATTGCTAGATACAAGAAAAAAATTGGTGATTTTTTTATTTGAAGACATAAAAAGGTATCTAATGGTAAGAATTTGGGAGAAAAGCAAAGAATACTTTAAGTGGAAAGGTGTGATTAATCCTAACATTATAAAAGTGATAGAAAAAAATATAGCTACAGTATCACAATGTGTAGTTGCATTTAATGGAGATGGTAGATAAGAAATAAATGTGGGTATAGATAGGTTTATTGTCCAACTTAATGAGAAAACATGTAGTTGTAGAATATCTCAACTTTCTAGTATCCTATGTACAAATGCCATATGTGCAATTAGAGATCTAAGTGAAAATATTGAAGATTTTGTGTCTAATTAGTATCATAAAGAGGTGTATCTATAGTCTTTTAGTAATGCTTTACAAACTATACTTGGGAGAAAGGATTGGGCTAAACCAAAGACAGAAGATAATGTTCTGCCCCCAGAGTTTAAGAAAATGTCAAGCAAGCCTAAAACCAGAAAAAAAAAAAAGAATCATGATGAGCACAAAAAAAAGAAGTTTAACAATTCAATACATATGTCCGGAAAGGGCATGATAATGACATGTAAATTATGTCATCAACTAGGCCACAACAAAAGAAGCTATCCTATAGTAGGCAATTAGGTAATTTCATTTTATTTTATTTTTATTTATTATTATAAATATTGTACTATTATGGATCCTTTCTTGTTAAAGTGCCCTAACCCATCAACTTAACTTTATCATTCTATCCATGACAATAAGATTATTATGTGCTTAGATCTGAAGACCAGAATATAGACTAAGGTGCATCAAGTATTGTAGATCATATTAAAGCTATACATGGTCTAAACAACCATACTACTTCTTTAACTACTACTTATGGTCTTTTTGCATAAGCTTTTATTGCTACATCCAGATCTAATTGCTCATCTACATCTGTATCTACTTCTATTAATATTAATGGTTTTGTATCTGTAACTATAACAACAACTATAACTACATCTGTATAAACCCTAAATCTAGTTTTAACAAATCGAGTTTCAAATCTAGCTTCCATTCTAGTTTCAACTCCAGCTTCAAATCTAGTTTCAGATCTAGTTTCCATTCTAGTTTTAACAAAAGTTTCAAATCCAGTCAATATTATTGCTTCTGTTGCTATTGAAATACAAAAATAAAGTTCAAAAGGCCAACAAGATCTACTAAAAGATATTTAACATATAAGGATGGAAGGCTTTATGGGATGACTGGTGAAAAAATAAATCTTTTTTTCAAAATCTAACTCTTCTACAACAACCACTAGAAAGAAAGCAATTTCAGTAAGCAGTATTGAAGTCACAATGACAAACACACTGTTAGAATTGCCATCAGAAGCAAGATAAAAGACATGCAAGGTTAAGGATTATATACAAACTTAGAAACAGAAGACAAATCTTAAATGTAAGTGATTCTTTTCCAAACATATTTTTTTTATTTTATTTCCTTAAATATTACCCATTATAATTTGATAAATGTTATTCAACAGCCTGGATTGAGAACTGAGAAAGTAATAGTAGTTGGGACAAGTAGAGGAAAAAGAAAAGTTGTTGAGGATGTAATATTCAAGAAAGTCAAGTTATTACTTTTTTTAAAAAATAAGGGAAAATAAAAAATCTAAAAAATTAATGTTTTGTTCTGTTGACTATTCCTGCTAGCTGCTGATGTTAAGTATTTTTTTTCTTTTTAATATTGTAAGAACACTTTTTATTTAGCCTTTTGTTGACTGAATGTTTTCTATACTGAATATTGTGTAAAAACATTTTTTGTTGACATTCATCGTATTATTTTGTTATAAGATTGCTTCTATTATTAGATTGCCTCATATTGCTTTTTAGTTACATATTGCAAGTTGAATATATTGCACTAAACCATATTTTTACAACTAATAACATAAAGCAACATAATTCATAGCTAATAACATTGATTCAATTGCCATTGACATAATAAGAATTTTAACAAATATTTACAGACCTTCATAACAATCTTAACCCATTATAAAGTATACAGGTTAAGTTTCCAAAATTTTTTTAGCATTAAAAAAGATTACACAAAGCACAAGTATAAAAGAAAATGAGATAAGCTAAATTATTTTTTAGTTGCCATTTCTACCATGTCCATCACTAGCAATTTTATTGCTTTCTTTCAATTTCAATCTTTAAAAAACAACTTCTCTCATCAACTGCATATTCTCTATGATATCATCAGCTTTACCAACATTTTGCTTCAACTTTGAAACTTCATATTTCAAATATTGAATATGACTATATAAAATTTTTTCTCTTTTTTTAGTTCTAGAATAATCTCTTTTGTTTTTTTCAGAAATTTTAGGATCATGCCATAAATGAAATCTAAAAATAATGCCTTATAATCACACAAAAAAAATCAGCAAATAAATTTCAGCAATTAACCAAGAAAATATCAGGAAATAAATATCAACAAAAACACCAAAGAAATATTAGTAAATTTACAAAATAATGTGGGTATCCATAAAATCTTTTACTAGATTGCTATTCATACATGAGGTCCACCTAGCTACCTTTATATTGCAGTAACAGAAAATGGGTTCTCTTTCAAAGTCTTATTTTATAAGGTAACTAGTTGAAATTAACTTATATGTGTTTATGTCATAAGATCCTCTTTTAGAAATCCTGCAATTTTAATATTTTGAAGAACAGATTCAGAAAAAATCAAAGCATAAGGAAAACTAAAATTTATACCAACCTTGAATTTATGCTGCTAGATGAACTAATATTTGAAAAAGACATTGTGTTCAAATGTTATTTTAACGATAAATTTTCAATTTACGGTGAAAAACAAAAAGAAACAAGGAGAAGATTTGCTTAGAAATGAGAAAACACCAAGCTAAAGCTCTCTTACGTCATTACAAACAGAAATGCTAAAGAAGAACATGATAAAAACATAATAAGCTTAGAAAGATAGTCAAAATCTTAGCTAGGTTGTCGTTACACATGGATAAGTTAATTCCACATTATATTCTACGTCATGTTTGTTTGTGATGGCTTTTACACATAGTCAATTTCATGGCATGTAACATACACATCCCATTTTTCATTGAAATAAATCATACATTGTTATAAGTCGTTAACTTTTTATTTTTATTTGTACGAATTAAAATGTTTAGTCCCAAAGCAACCATTCAAACGTTTGATCTTAATTTGAGCATTTAGCCTTTTTTCTTTTTTTGAGTGAAAGCCTAAAAATTTTTTTCTAATATTTAAATATCAAAATTAGTAAAAAACCATATTTGATTAACGTTTAGCTAAGATAATATATGATTAATTGGGTACTAATTTTGGGTATAATGAGGTACTAAAACCTTTGTATGTACATAGTCAACTATCAAACTTAGTTCTACTAAAATTTATTCTTTTTAAGGACCCTTAATCAAGTTTAGGATAATCTTTAAAAAAAATATATTCACATAGGTGATCAATCACATCTAGATAAAAAAAATGGTATCGACTCTATATTTTTTGTGTCTAATAGGCAGGTTCTCTCAGATTTGAATATTATGACAATCACGTGTTAAGACATTTGCTATCTTTTTTTCTTTTTCTTTACTTAATTTTTTCTATTTACTTTTTTTTTTTTTAATATTTAGTAAACAAATTTTTAATATTTTAATATTTTTTAAAAGTTGGACCCATTTGATATTATTGATTGAAAATATTTTTTTATTTGATATATTTTTTTAAAAGGATGTTACAAAGGTGTCATCATCACATCAGGATTTAATTTTTGTTTCTTTTTTAGATTTTTTATTTTTTTAAAATCCATGATATAAATATATGTTTTATTATTAAGTTAATTTTATATTAATTATATTATATTAATAATATTATTTTTAATACCATAATTTTATAAATCCACGTTCCTTTCCCATTTGATTTTTTTTCATCATTTATTTGCCTATACTTTAAATCTTACATATGTACGGAGGTTTTATGAGGTGCTACGTGACACTCTAATGTATTTTCTTTTTTTTCTTTTTTATTTTTATTTTTCCTTTTTAATATTTAATCATTATTTTTTATATTTTTAAATTTATATGTGTGGAACCCATTTGATATTTTTATTAAAAATATATATTTGTCTTTTTTAGTTTTTTTTTTCTTTTTACATGTAAAGCCTATATTCGATGGGTTTTAATTCATCTATTCAAAATTTAATAACCTAGCATAATATAGGGTGATTTGTATCCAAATGTAGCATGTATGTGATTATAGTAAATATCCTAGCATAATATTCTATAAAAAAAATAATTTGCTTTAATTATTATAAGTATTCAAAGTTTAATAGCTTGGCATAATATAGCTTACTTTATAGTAAATTAACCTTTATTTATTAGATAAATCTTAATATATATTAATAAAATATTATTAAAATGACAATTTAGAAATATAATTAATAATCATATTCATTTTTATTAGTTCAAAAGACTCTCCACATATGTATACTTGGCAATTCGTGTATTCATATCGTGTAAAATATTAAAATTTGTATATTCGTATCTTATTTTACATGAAAATTATGTGTCATAATTCGTGTTGATACAAAAATATTAAATATATATTTTGTTTTATTAAACCCACATATAGTTATTATTAAAATTTTAAATTGTGTCACCTTCGATTTTTTTTTTTCGTATTGTGTTTGTATCATATTTTAAATTACTAGGTTAGTATTTTACACATCATATACACATATTTGGTGCATAAGATTATAGATATAATAAAATGATTATCATGCTATCTTATGTTTAGTGCATACATAAGAAAGACGATTGAATTGCAAATAGTGGTAGATTTTAACACTTAATTTTGGGGGACTAATTAATATATTTTTTTCCAGAAAACTTCTACACACTATATTTTATTATCAACTAATACACATATTTGGTACATTAGATTATAGATATAATAAAATGATTATCATGCTATCTTATATTTAGTGCATACATAACAAAGACGATTGAATTGCAAACAGCGGTACTTAATTTTGAGGGAGCAATTAATATTATATTTTTTTCCATAAAACTTCTACACACTATATTTTATTATCAATTAATACACACACACACACACACACACACACACATATATATATAAACAATATATTGATAATAAAAAGTAGCAAGCTCATAAAAATAAAAATATTATTATGACAAAATTAAATTTTAAAGAGTGCCAATACTTTTAAATTAATCTAATTACAAAATCTTTCAATGAATTGAGAAAACTTTTTTATTATTTTGATAATTTAAAATAAAAAAAACAAATAAATCATTTGTTAAATAATTTTTTTATCGAAATAAGAAAAATAAATATTTTTAAAAAAATGAAGTTGAAAATTTGTGATTCAAAGTTGTGGTCAAATCTTTTATAAAATGGTTTTAATCTTTTTTTATGAAAAATAGATTACAGGACAACATGAAATAAAAATCTAGAGTAAAATTAAAAGTTAAAAAAATTATATAGAGAGAAATTATAGTAAATTTTAAAGAAAAGGGAAAAAAAACACTATATAATTTTTAGAGTTGTAAATGAACAGAGTGTTGATAAATTGTTTGTGAACATGTTTGGTTTCTGTTTATTTATATTCATTTGTTAAACTTAACAAATGATCTTAAATAGCATTTTTATGTTCGTTTATTAAACAAACCGAACATTAATAAAGTTTGTTTGGTTCATTTATATTCGTGAATAAGTTTGTTTAAAACTTGTTCATTTATTATTTGTTTGTTGTTTGCTTGCTGTTCGTTTATAACAATACTAACAATATTACATTTTTATCCTTTACCCTAATCCTATTTTAAGGTTTGTTTATATTTGTTTGGATTGGTTTATGTTCGTTTAGGATTTATTTGTTTAAATTTATTTGGTTATTATTTGTTTATTGCTCATGAACATGTTGGTTTATATATGTTTGTGAATATGTTTGTTTAATATTCACAAATGAGCTTATTTAACTTAATTGAATAAAACATAAACCGAATACGAACATCCTACCATTTAAACAAATCAAGTTTGAACAAATAGAGTAATTTTCAAACATAAATCGAGTCTGAACACCTATAAAAATAAATAAACAAATCACAAATATACATTCATTCGTTCATGTTCTATTTGTTTACAACACTAATGATTTTAGTCCCTCTTAAATTATAATGCATAAAATTAAATTATAAAATTGAAAAAAATATATAATAAATATTATAATAAATATAAGAAATATAGCATAGCAACATAATTTTAATCTTTCTTAAATTCTAATGAAAAATTAGATTATGAAACCAAATTTTTAATTAATTAATTAATTAATAATTCTAATTTAAAAAGGGCCAATTTAAATATATATATATATATATTTATATAAGGGTTTTCAAAATTTTGAGGGACTTGGTCTCCTTAAGTTTAAATGACGGTCCACCTCTGATTGCAAAGATAATTAATCATTTTTTTAGAATAAAATGACTTGAGCATCTTCGAAAAAGAGAAGATTATTTCTAATATTATGAAATTAGATGATACATATTTATAAATTATCTATTTTATTCCTAAAGTTTACATTTAAAATTTTACTTAAATATTTAATAAGTTGATAAGTCTCATTATTTAAATGGTTAACTCAAGTTATTTTTTTTCAATTTTCTTTTATTTCTTTTTCCCTATTTTATTTTTTCCTCTTTTATTTTATTTTTCTATTTTTTCCATTTTCCCTTATTTTGTTTCTTTATTTTTTCCATTTTACCTTTTTTTCCCTCTTTTCTTTTTTTTTTGAATAAATAAAAAATATAGTTTTGATAAAAACTAATTTTTTGATTTTTTTGAAAAATTAATTTACCTTTTTTTGAAATAATCAATTTTTCAATTATTTTTTAATTAATAAATATAACTTTGAACCATAAACTATTCTAAACTAAATATTTTATAGTTAATAAATAAATAAAAATATTTTTCTCTTTTTTTCTTCTTTTTTCTTTTTTCTAGAGGAAGAATAAAATAAAAGAAAAGAAAAAAATAAAAAGAAAGAAAGAAAATATATAAAATTATATTTTTGATAATTTTTTAAAAAATTAATTATTTTTTAAAAATCACTTTTTATAAAAATAATTTTAGCTCTCAATCATATAATTTATTTTAAATTTAAATTATAAAAGGAAATAAAATAAATGAAAAAGAAAGAAAATAAAAAGGAAAAAGTAGTGAAAAAATAATTTTGATAAAACAATTTAAAAAATATTTTTTTGAAAAAATAAATTAATTTCTTTAAAATGATTGATTATTTTATTAAAATATAAATTTTTAAAAAATAAATTTAACTCTTCTCTATAGAAATTATCATAAAATATTTATTTTTAGTTAAAATTTTTCATTTATATTTATCCAAAAATTATAAATTTAAATTATGTGTTATTTTCTTGGCCAAAAAATTATTTTTTTACTTTAAAGAATAATTTTGATTAATAAAATAAATCATCTTATACTATTCTTAAATTTACACATAACAAGTATAGTCAAAAATAAAAATTATCTTATCATATTTTTAATTTTTACAAGCATTAAATAAAAAATAAAATGATATTATTTATTTTAATTTTATTTATAATTTTATATTAACCTATCCTATTTATAATTATATGTACCAAAAATATATATTTACGTGTGTGTCTATATATATATATATATATAATTTCATGTGCATATATTCAAGTGTAAGAAAAATTAAGTCAAATAAATTTTTAAGGTTGAAGCGACACCGGCTTTTACCGTTTTTGAGGAAATGGAGAGACAAGTGTTTTTTCGCCATTCATTTAAGGAGCGTATGACAGAAGGATCTCTTTATCTATTCGCAATCCAAAACTTTTTGTATGAGATCATTTTTCAAAATACTACCATTGAAATAAGAAAGTGAAGGTATTGTAATATACATATATATATATATATATATATATAAATTCATGTTCACATATTTAAGTATGAGAAAAATTAAGTAAAATAAATTCTTAAGGTCGATGGGACACCGGCTTTTACCGTTTTAGAGGAAACGGGGAGACGAGTGTTTTTCTGCCAATCATATGAGGAGCTTATGAAATAAGAAAGTGAAGGTATTGTAATATTTGTATGGTAATCTCAGTTTCCTCCATAGCCAAATGGAAGCCATTTTAAAGCCTCTGTTAAGCTCAACCACTATGCCAAAAACACCCAAACCATCCTCATTTTCTTCTTGTAATATGTCTATCATCAATAAAGCTACATTTTTACTACCACTAACTCCTCATTTTACTACCACTTCTTTTTGTTTCTCTGCCCCTTCTCGTTTCACTTCTTCTGGTAAGTCATTTCCAACTCTTTTGGCTATAAACCATTAATATGTTTCTTCAAGTTTCAGCTAAGAAAAATTTGTGGGTTTCGTGTCATTCATGTTGTGTGTTAATGGTTCTTGTCCATTCTTTCCTTTCTTTTCCTATTTCTATAATGGGTTTTTCTCTTTTGGCCTTAAAAATTATTTTTCCTATATGTTTCTTGGATTTTCTGCTGAGTAAATTTTGTGGGTTTCATCATGTCATTCATGCTGTATTTGGATTCTGTAAAAAATTTTTCTTTTTGTCCTGGATTGACTCAGTTATATATGCTACTCCGGAGAGCCAATTGAGTGAGGGCGTAGAAAGAACTACAAGAGAATGGGTAATGCAAGGTATGCTTTAACTTACTGAATTCCAGGTCATATATTTGGGCTGAAAATTTTGATGTTCTCTAAGATGGTCTAAATGGTATTAGCGCTTTGCCTGTATTGTTATTCAAATGGCAGTTTATATCCCATAAAACAATAATTATCATTTTACTTAAATTGGCCCAGTGCCCGTACCAGATTATGTTGTTGAGTTTTTAATGTGAATCAGTTTGAGTTTGCTCATTTAATCTTACTCTATTCTTCATTGGTAAAATTTATCATTAGATGTACTATACAGGATATAGTGTTTAGTTTGTAAATTGAACATGTACTGGGGTGGGAAGCCGTAGGAATGCTTCTCTGGTTAATAGTTATTATCACCACTTCGAAGGTCTGCAGTTTTTAGTGCAATTAAAGTTTCAAGAGAGCCATTCTGATGGCAATTGTTAAATCATCGTATTGCAAATGCTAAAGGCTCTAGGCCTTCCTCTGAATTTGTCCCTAACAAAATTCATTAGGAGCCATACACTTATCACCTAAAGCTGTAGAGTTTGCTATTTCAATCTCACTGTACAAGCTGATTAGCCTAGGAACCTCAAAAAAAGAAAAAATGTTAGTTCTGATTTAAATATTTAGGTTCACTTATTACATAATCTTTGACTTTTTCCTTGTTAAACTTTGATTTCTAAACCCTTTCCCTTTATCAAAAAACTTGGTGAAATTATCTACTAGCTCAGACAAGTTTTGCTGGATTTGGACTAATGTGCTACATTTTCCCTATTATGACTCTTGTTCATTTTGGCTTTCAATTTTCTATTTCTTATGCTACTTTCTTTTCAGCTTCTATCTCATCCTTTTTTTTTTAAGATGATGGGTTGCTTTCATGATTTTGTTTGACTGTTCTTTGCAAATACTCATCATTTAGTTTCAATATTCAGGTTTTTTGGCCCAAACAATATTCTTATTCAAAGCATCATATCTCAATTGTTTAGTAACTAACAAATAAAAAGATTGTTGTTGTTAAATGATGACTTGTGTAAGAGTTTGGAAGACTAAACTTTAAAAATTATACAAACTGATGAAAAAAATTTTCTAACACAACTGAGTGGGTTGATCAACCTTTTTGGCCCCCTGCCAGAAGATCCTGCTTCTTACCCTGGACTTGATACAAGTTGGATTTGCGCATATTAAGTATTGCTGTGTGCATCTCTGAATTATTGCTTGGTATTTTCTGACAGATTTTTATGCTCTAAGGAAGGATGTTGAAACTGCCTCAGAACGTGTTGAGGAGATTAGAGCATCTGCTAGTCTGCAGCTTTTAGAAAAGGAACTTGTAGATTTGGAATCAAAGGCAGCCAATAGCTCCTTTTGGGATGATCGTGCCAAAGCCCAAGAAACACTTTTGGCACTGACTGATGTCAAAGATAAGATAAATTTGCTCAATGAATTTAAAACCAAGGTATAAACTTTCTTGTTAAGAAAAATACAGTCTTGCAACATTGTGGCTTTCAGCATTATTAGCCTGTGCTTGAAGCATAGTTTAGGACAATGTACTTGACATCATTTTATTGTTTATGCTTCTACAGCACTATCATTTTTTTTCTTATTTTTTTTAGTTTTTTTGTTGGGAGGGTAACTCTATTTGTCAAATCTTTAACCTTTTCCAAATTGATATACTTTTCTATTAAAGGGGTCAAAATTATTTTACTTTGATGATCTGGTGAAGAATTCCGTCCATTAAATTCCCAATATGCCTGGCTTCTTATTTTAATTCATAAGACTCCCAACTTCCTTATATTTGTTGAATTGGACTATGTGTTTATCTAATATGATTTCTCTTCATTAGGAGGATTATTGTTTTAAGGTTGATGAAAATGACAATGCCCATGCACAAAACCAGTACATGGAAATTTAATTATGCAATTTGTTTCCTGTCTCAATTAAGCACATGGATATAATTTTGGGATAGTTGATTGGGTTAAGTGTCTGTAAGAGATCTAGTTCAGGAGTGAATCCTTTAACAAGTAGATGCAAGTGTTGCGTTTGGTGAGGCGGAGTAATATTAGTACCATTTGACAGAACGACTTTTCTCTTTTGCAATTTGACTTGTATAGATCTTCGATTGTTGAAAATTATACTTGCATTTTTCCAAAATTCTGATTTTGATCAAAATGTGCTAGACCGGAACTTGGACAGATACTACTTCCTTAATATGCTTTCTTGATTTAGTGAGCTGTATTTCATACATTGGATGCAGGTTGAAGATGCTGAAACTATAGTTAAGCTAACAGAGGAGATGGACTCCATAGATGCTGCACTTCTAGAAGAAGCTGTCAGCATCATCAAAGAACTAAACAAGGCATTGGACCTATTTGAGTTGACTCAACTTCTTTCTGGTCCATATGATAAAGTAGGTGCAGTCATCTCTATAACTGCTGGTGCTGGAGGCACTGATGCACAGGTAATAGTTTTTTTTCGTACGGCAACATGAATGGTTTATATTCCTTTCTCATCAGATAAAAGAATGATGTTCGACATGCAACATCCGTTAATAGTTAGTGGCTGTATCATTTGTCTTTTTTTAGTTCAATTAAATTAAAAGCAAATCTCTTTGATTCAGGACCTGGTAATCTAAGCTTCATTCTCTCATCTGTGCAGTGTTTGTTTTTCCTTTAGTTGGCTGACTAGGTGCAAAAGGCACTTGGTCTTGTTCAGCAAGAGTCAAACTGCTTTCGGCATCTAGTATATTGATTCTGCTTGATTTATAAAAGTAATTGGTTATATGATGATGATCTATTAAATATGAATTAGATAAAAGTAAGTTGATCTTGTGATAAGCCATATGGCTTTGATGAAAGCCCCTTGAAGAATCATATTAGAGGCTAGAATCTAGCCACTTATACACCTGCTAGTGGGTGTATGAGTCATGGCCAAATCATGTGATAGTGTAGGATTACTAAATGGGGACTGGATCTGCTTTGATATCATGTCAAATTTGTGGGCATCCACCTAAAATGACCTGGCAAATAGTTGGAGAGTGTGAGCTTAAATATAGAGCAGAATAAATCTGAAATAACATGATGCAGGGTAATATCACTTGACACCTTTAGAACAAGGAAAACAAACGATAGGAAAAAGAGGGACAACAAACATGAAGAAAGAACAAGGAAACAAATAACATGGCTTCTAAGACCATCTTAGACATCTGTCTGAAAACCAGTTTGCAATAGGTGGACCAGTCTATCTTGAATAAAGGTGCCAGGTAACCAAACCTAAATTGATGTGGGATTTATTACCACTTAAAATATACTAAGTAAATTAGCTGAAGTGGAGTTGTATGAAGCAGACTTTGATGATGGGGTTTACAACTGGTCTAAAACAGCACAACTGTTGAAATTCCCTCGGATGAGAAGTTCATACAGTGTTCTAAAGATTTTTCAGACATTGGGGTTTTGTCTAGTTCTTCTACATCAAAGGTTCAACCGCAGACAACCCTCAACATGAAACTGTTAGTCATATTCAACTAAACTTCTTTTAATTAAAAATCACATGGGCTAATTTTCATCCATATTCAGATTCCCAGTCATTAATGAATATGAGGTCTTAAATCCTGACCCTGAGGTTATTGTTTTTCATGGGGCCTGATGTACCACTGAGCTTTATCTCTGCTTTTCTTGTGTAAAAATCTTGATCGTTTCCAGTGCAGGATTGGGCTGAAATGCTTCTCAGGATGTACATGAGATGGGGAGAGAAACAGAAATATAAGTCAAGGGTGGTTGAAAAGTCCTTGGGAGAGGAAGCTGGGATTAAGTCAGCCACAATTGAAGTTGAAGGTAGATATGCTTATGGTTATCTGTCTGGAGAAAAAGGAACACATCGTATAGTACGGCAGTCTCCTTTCAATGCCAAAGGTCTTCGTCAGGTAACTTGTGTTATGGTCTGTCATTTGGACTCTCTTTATATATCAGCAGATATGACAGAGACCATATATATATATATATATATTAAGTTCTAATTTTACTTGTAAGTTGTTGTATATTGAGAAAAGACTGATCTTCTTGTTATATGGTTAGGGTTGAACAATTTGGTCCATCAAAATTGTTTTCGAGCGTTTGATTAGTTGGGTTGGAGGACTGCTTATCCAATAACTAGATAATCTGAATGACCAACATTTTTTGTTTCTCCTAAATTTCTATAATAGGCTGTTAATTTTCATGCATCTTTTACTTTCTTGTTTGTATTATGTTTCTCAGCATCCATAGTGTGAGTGGAGTGGTTGGACATGGAACACTAGGAAGATCATGTACATGGTTCTTGCAGCCACCAAATGGTTGTTTTGACATGTTGCCTTGAAATGTTGTTGCCTTCTTGATGGAAGTTCTTTGTGAATTCTGTAAAATTTTTTGAGAAAAATAGGCTATTATTGTTTGTTAAATGGATTGAGATTGTGGAGCCATGCTATTTCATTCCAATCAGACAGAGAAATGATACTTAAGGTTTCTCCACAGTAAACACAGTTGACCGGTGTCCCCTTGGCCAACATAACCGCTCTTCCATTTTTTTTCCTTGAGAAAATAATCAGACTTCCAATAACCACACAGAGATATGACCCCTGTGGCCTTTAGTTGAGAAATCAGGTTATTCATGAATGCTGATCATTCCCATTGAACCCTTGTCTCCCTCTAATTGCTTCACCATGATTGTTTCTGTAGATGCCATGCAATCACTAGAAAAGGATAGAGAATCCTAGCTTATAACGAAGGATCCATAGCTAAAGATCACAAGAAAGCTCCATACTTTTGGAGACTCAAAGAGGACCCAAAGAGGAGTTTTTTCCTTTAGCCTTTAAGATTTGTCTATCAATTTAAAACAATTTTGGTGCTGGTGATATGTAGGAATTTAAATATCGTGCTGGGGTGAAGCCAATGTGAAAAGCTGTGTTTGAACATTCTTAGTTTGCATTAGGCTATAAAAATCTTATCAAGTTAATAGTCATGCAGCCTGGTATAGTCCTTGGTTTTTGTTTGTGTATGTACATTTTTTTTATATATTTTCTTCACTGTATAACTGAACTTTTTTTTTAGTTTTTCTTTTTCACTTCCATTGTCAGTTTGACTATTATTTGATTAAGCATTGATTCACAACCCAGACTTTCTGCAGTTTTTCTTTTAATATCTTTAGGTGCAGGAATCACTTTCATATTTAGCTCCTAGGTCAAATCTGTGTGCTTTTTCTCTCTCATGATGAACTCTGATAACCCTAGGAACTAATAGTGTTTCCCCAAATGCAGGAGAAATTCTAGGTAACAAACTTTGATTGAAATATGACAGTTCTTTAAACTTTGGAATTTAATGTAAAAAGTATGTAGATTACTGAAAGAAAGTTGTATGTAATATGTATCTGTAATCTCTTCGTCCCCCTTGCCCCCTTCTCTGAATGTTTTAACTCTTGACATTGGGTTACGCAGACAAGCTTTTCTGGTGTTGAAGTCCTGCCTCTTCTCCCCGAAGAATCAGTGGATGTTGAATTACCTGAGGAAGACCTTCAGATTACCTTCTCAAGGGCAGGGGGGAAAGGAGGTCAGAATGTGAACAAGGTTGAAACTGCTGTTCGGATTACTCACATCCCCACTGGTGTTACTGTTCGCTGCACAGGTCTCCCACCTTATTGCTCTTCTAGTTTTGATTAATTGGAATTGTTATGATACTTTCAAAAGCATTTTTAGTATATGGATTCAGCAAAAGAATTCATTGTGTAGCTATGAGAGTTATTTCTTGGAGAAAATGCAACAAGGTCATTGCCTCAAATGTTCACTGTAATTATATGGTTGCATTTACTTCACCTGGCTTAGAGTGAGAAAATGGTGTTTATTAGGCTCTATAGTCTAAACAAATAATATACATTTCCTATTGGCAAAAAATTGTGTAAATATTTTTGTTTTCTTTTTTTTTTTCATCCTAGGGGAAGGGGGTTAAGGGGGGGGGGGGGGGGTGGATTTGGTTTTAGATATAAGTCATGGGAGGTTGTGAGATTGGGGGAGAGGAAGGGTGTATTATAACATGTTCTGGAATTTCTAAAATTCTAAATACAGAAGCAATTTAAACCGAGTTTGAAGGATGTATAGGGACTAAAACAGGTAACTAAGTGCAATGAATTTCAATAAGCTTAATCAAAGTTTTGCATATCAGCAGCATTATCATCAGAACATCACAAAGTCGGTTATGTCTGTTGGTATTCATCTTATTTGGAAGCACCTACTAGATTTTAATAGTCAAAAATAGGAAGCTTCCTGCTTGATAAAGAGTAAGAGGAGATCTTGTTTAACTTTTGAATCATTCCCTGCTAGAAAGGGCATGCTATTTCCTCTTTCATCACCCTGCTCCCTTCTTTACCTTTTTTTTTTTTGCTCTATACCAGTAATGCAATAGTTTCTTTCCGATTTTCGTTTGTCCAATATTGATGACATTTTCTTGGCCATATTGCAGAAGAGAGATCCCAGCTAGCGAACAAGATCAAGGCTCTTAGCCGTTTAAAAGCCAAGTTATTGGTGATAGCTGAGGAGCAACGTGCATCTGAAATTAAGCAAATAAGAGGAGATGCAGTAAAGGCAGAGTGGGGGCAGCAGATACGTAACTATGTATTCCATCCATACAAACTGGTAAAAGATGTACGGACAGGGTTTGAAACATCAGATATTGCGTCAGTTATGGATGGTGAATTGGATGCCTTTATCAAGGTTTACCTCAAATATAAATACAGTATGAATGTGTCTGCAACAGGGGCTCATTAACAGTTTAGTGATCTATGATTAACTTCTATAATTTCCTTTTTGTGTTTATATAAACTCAAAATCTTTGGATCAAATCAGGAATATGCAAGGTAGATTACTGTAAACTGATATGTATGTGTATATATATATATATATATATCTCATACCAATATTACTAATCAGATTCAAATGTGGCAAAGTGCCATTATCCGCGTTCATTCCGTACATAGCTTCAGATTGATGGAGAATGAATAGATAACCGTCACTCGGTCCACTAATTGCAAACTCAGCTGGGTTTTAGAGATTTTTTCTTAACTGCATATATAAATAAAACAATTCACTGACTCATCTTATCTTGTATGTCAATATGTGTGATACATGTTATATAAATTATCTGCTTATAATTTTATTGTTAAATATATAAAAATGAATTAGAACAATTTCATTAATTTAACAAGAAAGGAATTTGCAGATTTTTCTTTTAATGTGCAAAAAGTATAGATAAAATATATAATGTGGTAATTCTTTTGAAAGGTACAGTGTTTGTACTTTTTTTGGTACATATATAAGTAGTTTTTAGTATTTGAAAGTGAGAATTTGAGTGGTCAAGACATTTTAAGTTGAAAATTTTATACCTTTTTTTTTATACTTATATCAAGCAACATATCATTAGATTTGAAATATCTATTGAATATATGCATATATATTATATATAAAGAAAATTATTTAATATTGTGCATGGAATTTTTAAATTTGATTAATGAAATTAAAAAATTGTCACAAATCTTATTAAAATATATACTAAAAAATATTACTAAAATAAGTTAATAATAAATAAAAATATGATAATATCTTATTAATTTATTTGTAGAGTTTAAAAATTCAGTAATGCTGTGCTTTAAAAAAAGGAAAGCAGTAAGATTACTGAGATACTCATTAATAGTATAAGATTACTGAGATACTCATTAAGTATAATGTACTTGAAAACATATATCCTCTCTCTTTCGTGCGAAAGTTGCTGTCGGCTGAGATTGGAATCAGAATCCAAAGTCTAAATACTCTATTTCTATTAATTATTTTAAGTAAAAAAATCCCTTAGCTTGAGGGAGGGAGCTGTCCTGCACAACTTATCATTGGCTCCCTTGAGGTTGTCGACTATAGCTTGGGGTTGAAGCTACAGCTATACTTCCGCTCCCTCCTTTCACATGATTGTCTTTAAGTGTTGGCAAAATCCATATAGGAAATAGCTTATCGCTGTAAACTGAATGATCTGGATCGTAAAATCGTTTCATTGTTCCATTCATCTTCAATTTAAACCGACCCATATCATGGGGTTTTGAGAGCCTAGCTGACTCTGAACCCAAAAAACAATTAAAGTTATAGTCATCTGTGAAGTAAATACAATTTGGTTGACACCCTGGGAAGTTATGAGTGACCGCAACCGACAAGGAAGAGTTCCCACCCAAGAATAATGCATCATCTCTTATGCCTTCTACATTAACCAACTTTGCTTCAGTTCCATCTTGCACCAGCTTATAAACCTTGCAATTTTTAGTCAAGTAATGTTTCTTACAATGATCAAACCTGAAAATCCTTCTGATGACCAGAATATCTCCGGCAGATGACTCCACAATGTATGATTTCATAATAGCTGGTCTACGGCCAGACCCTGGTACAATGATCTCTGACTTAATAGCTGAATTTCTTGTGCCATCAAAGCTTGAAAAATTCTTAACTGATATGATATTATTTAGCAAATCTACAGCATAAATATCGCCGTTGCGAAAAATAACATCAGTTATTTTATCATCTCCTGGATTGTTAATCCAAGTCCAACTTTGAATATCGCCTGGTTGTCGAATGATTGCAATTTGTGTATGGTCATCGGCTTTGACGAGGGCGATGACAAAATATTCCTTAGGATTTAGGTAAGGATCATCTGATAGTACAACCTTGTTGATGAAGAAATCACTAGAATAATTAAGCAGAGGAGGAAGAGTGAGACCATCAGAGGTGAAAGGGTTGATAAGTGTAATGGCTAAAGATTTGGCATCAAACATAGCTAGCCATCCATGAGAAGAGCCACAGAATGCCCTGCTAGTAGTCTTGAATGGAAGTTGCAGCTCCATCTGGTATTTCTTTTCCTCAATCACGTTGTACAAACCAAGCCTTTCTTCACTGTTTCCTTTGGAAGGGATTATCAGCAGCGGGGAACGACCCTTCAAGATTTTACGGAGTAGGTTAGTGTTGTTGCTGATAGCCAAGTTCCACGGCTTGCAAACAGTGCAGATACGCACATGATTGGAATGCGGAGGAACCAATTTCTCCACTATCAAAACAAGGATGGAATCATGAAGATTTGCCCAATCTGCTATTGAGTGCTCCATGACAAAGCCCCTATTCGAGGGTAAAAATTAACTGTAGTGATAGACTGTTAGAACTTAGCAACAGCTCAGTCAGTATATCATCAATTATATATGGTAGAGAGCCAGCTCCAGTAGCATGCTCTCCTGAAACAGAAGCCTTTGGCTGCTTCGCTCCCTTAGAACCCTACGGAAACCCTCTATATATATATAAAGAAGCCCTAAGATTCCATAAGTTTATTAAGGGAAGAAGAAAGGAAAGAAAATCATAGAGGTTATTCATTAAACTTTCCTTCGAAAAAAAAAAGAAGGTAATCTAGAGGAGAGCAAAGTAATTTTCTTTTTAAGACAAAGATATATTTGTAAAAATATATATGTGAATTAATAAAAAAGGTGTTTGAATTGAGAACAATTGAAAAGCAAGAAATTATCACAAAATCTCAAGTATATAATCTGTTTCAAAGATACAAATTGTTAAATATTTCAAGCTCTTCCACGAGTTCAAAATCTTCACAGTTAGAGGTTACATCATTATTATCTATATATAAATGCATAAACTTCAAAAATATTAAAAGTAATCGATTCAAATATCTCTATGAAATTTTAAATTAATAAATTTATTTTTAAATATATAATTTTTATTAATTAATTTAAATTTAATTTAAATAAACTAAAATTAAAAATAGAATTTATGTGACATTAAATTTTTTAAAATTTTAAACTTTAATTAAAATATTAAAAATAATTGACTAAAATATTTTTAGTAAAATTTTTTTATAAATTTTAACTTAAATGATTTCTTTTTTATTATTAGATTTTTTTGTTATTATTAGATTAAAAAAATGTTAAAAGTGACTAATTAAAATTACCTTAATAAAATTTTAATTTAAAAAATGTTAAAAGTAATTGATTAAAATATCATTAGATTTTTTTATAAATTTTAGTTTAAATAATTTTTTATTATTAGACTCTTTTTTTGTATAATTAGAATTATTTTTCACATCAAATAAAAATACAAATAGAATCAGATTAAAGTTTAACGTGTATAAGAATTAACAAATTATATAGAGTTTATTTTTTTAATTATTGTAAAAACAATTGTATATGTAGTTTATGTTGATAAATAAATTTATTAAAGATAATCATAATTAAGCTGTTGAAGCATATTTATTTTTTTTCTATTTTTTGCCTTTCAATTTTTTGTTTTAGTAGATTTGTTAGCCATATATATGTATGCTAATGATTTTATTATTTATATGTTTTATGAATTGATCATTTAATCTAGTTATTGATAATATAATTAAATCTTTTTAGTCTTTTAAAATAATTTTTTAACATATCATTCTTATAGTTTAATCTGAGTTCTATAATTGATTTCTCCTATAATTGTTATTCCCATAAATAAAAACTAATATCAAATTAAATGCAAATCAATTGCACACTCTCCACCAATAATTAATACTATGTGATTCATTAAACATTTTAATTGGACTTTCCACCTAGAAAATTACATGATTCATGAGGTGATCGAGCTACCAATAGCTTAAGATTGGGTTTCATTAAATTTTTATAAGAATTATTCATTTTGATTGAAACAATAATTTATTTAATTTTCTTTTAACTTTTATCTTAATATGCGTATATGTGATTAATTTATATTTCAAGATTATTTAATCTTTCTTAATTGTATTAATTTGCTCGTTTTTTGTCATCTAGGTAATTGAATAACCAAACATGAATTATTCTAAGTATATAATTATCAAGTTAATTAAATTTAATTGTTTTTAGTGAATTCTTTCAAGGTGTAACAAAATTCATTGGAACTATCTTTTAAATGTGTTTATGCCAAAATTGTGTTCATTCATGAAAATTTATGTTGTTAATGCTAAAATTGAAATTATTATAAATTATATAAGCATTACATAACAAGTTTGTTATTTTGAGAATTGAAATTTTTTTAAGAAAACATGAAAAGTACCAAGGTTAGGAATTTATTTTATTTCATTTTAATTTTTAAAATTATGTATTTTAACATTTGAATATAATAAAAATTTATGTATAATAAAAATTTTAAATGAAAGAAAATTTAAGCATTTAATTAATCGAACGTATAATTACATTTAATTGATGGAAATATCAATAGAAGATTATCCTAGGTAAAAAGAAAAGGACAAAAGATTGACTGGTTATGTATAGCTCTATCTTTTTCATATAACAAAAAAAACAAAAACTTAATGCTATATGATCTTTCAATAAAAAATATATAAATGTATTTATTTTAAATTTTTTAGAATTAATATGAAACTCTTTTATTAAGAGAAACATTACATAGTCCTCAGTTTTCTCGTTAATATCAATTGAATAATGTTACTGTTGTATAAAATTTTAAAGTTGCCATATTAGACAATATTTGTTTAAAAAAATTGAAATCATCAAATTAATTATGGCTATTACATTTAATATAAAAATATTAATAGAAGTTATAAATTAACTAAACTTAAAAGTGATTTATAAGATTAATTAGCAAAATTCAATTTACAAATCTTTATTTAATTGTGTGTTTAAATTTCAATTATTTTAAATTTTAACTTTTCATAATTTCGAGGTGAAGTTTAGACTTACGATTAGTGACTAATTCGATTGAATCAATTTTTATCATCTACTTAGTGTACTCAATTATTCACTTATATATCTGAATAAATTTGACTCAACAATTTATTCATGTTTTTCTTTGTTTAAAAAGTTAGATTCAAATTGTCTTAAATTCAAATAAAAAAGTATATTCAATTACTTATAATTACAATTTCGCTTTAAAAATACTCTTAAAATTAATTAATTAATTCAGCCACAAAACAATAAAAATAAAACATTAAAGATGAAAAAAAAAGCTTAAATAAAGAACTTTTAAATTGTTGCGAAAGATGAAAAAAAATATTAGATTCTGATTAGGTTGCTATTTCAATTCAAATTTTGGTTATATTCAATCATTTTGAGTTTTGAATAACTACTAAATTTTTTACTTTTTAAAAGCAATTGAAATCAAATCAAGTTAGTTCACTTTTATAAATATATTATATTATCTTTAATTAAATTAAAATTTAAAATGAGTAAAAATTTTATTTATACTCAATTTGAGTTTTAAATTATTTCAAGTTTGAGTTGATTAATCCATATTATTTTAACTATACTTTTATGAAATTGGTAATAAACTTCAAACTAGAATGAAAATACAACACAATAAAAATTTAAATGTAAAAGTCATGAAGATACTAATTATAATTATAAAAGAAAATCTTTATGCCCAAATCTTATAGAGATTAAATGATATATCTTCTTTTAAATATTTTAAAATTAGTATTATTAAAAAATTAATTAGATCAATGACTTTATAATCATTGATTTGTTGATCAAGTTGCTACTATTTAGGCCAAGAAAACCAATTCAAACATTTTATTTGAAAGAGATATATGTTTCATACTCATTTAGGAAGACAATGTAAGAGTTAAATATTATTTGGATTATTATAATCCCTTACAATATTCTTTACTTTTTTCAAATGGAGAAGTTGATTGGCATCAAAATATCAATAAGGTCCCTTTCAATGATAGTAATAAGAATGAAGCAACAATTAAAAATATATTATCTTTTTGTTTAGTAGTAGAAAATTTTTATGAAGAATGAGAAAGTAATTATTGTGACTTTAACAATTTTCAAAATTATTCTACTTAATTTTTATAATTTTTTCTCATTACTTTTATCATATATATATATAACAAAATATTTTACTCAAAATTATATACTTATAGATAGAAATATATGTCAAAGTTTATTACTTTCATTGGTGAAGAATACTTCAAATTTTCAATAATTTATACGCAATTGTGCTTCACTAACAAGTATGAAAATACATATACTAATAATCCAATCAAATTATTAATAGAACTTATCTTAATATTGATTATTTTACTATAAACTAAAAAATTTTGAAAAATATCTTAAAAATATTGACTTAATATATATTGTATGTATTTATTTAATTTGGTTTTGATTAGTATAAAAGTTTATGATTTTAACTTATTATTACATATTAAAGCATGGATAGTAAATTAAGATCATTTATTTACATTTAAACCTTTTATTACTTTCTTTCTCTATAATGCAAATTACATCATCTAAAATATACTATGGTCATTTTCTTTTTGGATATACATAAATCAATAACATAGTAGTAGATAATTAGTAACATGTATGGTAATAAATAATTGAAAACTTAAATGTAATTAGTATAACTTAGTAGTAATTATCAATAACTTAGTAATAAATTAGTGATAACTTAACAGTAAATGAATGATAATTTAATAGTTCATAATTAATAAATTTTAAGTAAATTAGTAATAATATAATAATAAATGTATAATGCCTTAATGGTTAAAACAATTAAATATAGTTGTAAATGTATAATAGCATAATACTAAATCAAAGAAAACTTAACAAAAAAAAGTGATACCTTAATCTTTAATTATTGATAACTTACTAATAAATCAATGATAGCTTAATAGTAAATCAGTGATAATTTATTAGTAAATCAATTTCAACTTAATAATAATTAATTGACAGTAGTAAATTATAAATAACTTAGTAGTAAATTAATGATAATTTAGTAATAAATAATTAACAATTTAGTAGTTAATCATTAAAAATTTAAAAGTAAATTAGTATAGTTTAATAATAAATTATTGATAGCTTAATAGTTAATTAGTGATAACTTAATAGTAAGTCATGCATAATTTAATATAAATCAGTAATAATTTAGTAGTGAACCATAAAAATTTAATGATAAATCAGTGATAATTTTGTAGTATATAGCTAGAAATGAAGTAGTAAATCAATAATAACATAATAGCAAATATATAAAAATATAATAGTAAATCATTCATAATTTAGTTGTAAATTGATAACTTAGCAGTGAATTATTAATAACGTGTTGGATTATAGTGTCCAACAATCTCTCTTAGGGACTCAGTATGTCGATTCATATGGGTGAGGTATCCCATGATGGATCAAATTCTGGTGTATGGTAACCCAACCTGTCGAGGTGCAATAGGTGAGGTATCCCATGAAGGCTTTGCGAAGCCCCTTATGTCCACCTGTCGCTTAG